AAAACAAGAGGAAATAAACCCCACCCAGTACAGACTATGTCAATGCTAGTATTCATTTTTACGACATCCACCAGATAATAATAATCTGGAAAAGGGGACAAACAGTCTTTGCAAAACCCTTTCAAACATTTGTCCTCATCTCTCTCCTTTTGTAAGTTACATTGTTTTCTTCTTCATTGACTACCTAGGTCTTACATTGACTAGGTTCAAGAGTCTAGGTTGGTGTATTTGGAGATAAAGGTGACAGATTGCATTGCAGAAGTGGAAATAGTCTTGTGTATTGAGTACTAACACCAGGCATGCTCCAACTAGGTAGCAGAGCAGTGGCTTAGTGTTCCTACCCATTCATCAAATTGGCATTCTGCTTTCCCTAGTATTCACCCACAGTCAGCTCTTAGGTCTACAACCTAGACATTCTGAGTTCAGGATTTTGGCAAAGTCCACACTGGCCACATATCTTCATACCATCTGTGTTCCATCTTCTTTGCAGAAGAGTCCTCTTTTCCAGGAAGAGGATAAAAAACTATTGTCAACATTCACATTGGAGGATGAAGGAAAAATATTGTCCCATGAAAAAGAGTTCTCTCTTCTACTATTACCACACTCATCTCTATTTTTGTCACTAACAATGCTTCCTCAGAGTTCCTCTCATTTTAAATCATAGAGTAAAATCTAGTATACTATGTGACCATTTTTCTCTTTCTTACTGAAAACTTCCTTACTGACCCTCGTTTTCCCTTACCTTCTTGATGCACCTGAGTTCTAGCAATACTCACCAACACCATTCTCTCTTCACTGTAACCTAAACTGCATACTATGGCCAGATGAATTTTCCTTAAACACTGCTTTCACCTTCTTTTTCAAAAATTTTTAATGGCTGCCTTAAAACTGACAGTTCTACTTTCTGGTGGGAAGTATTGGGGAAGAAACTTCTGCCCTCTATAAGAGAAACAGTGATTATCTGACTGATAAGATTGGGGAAAGTTCACTGGTTGAGACCCAACTTCTTTTTTCATCTTTTTCTTTACTGAGTGCTTCTTATATTCAAAGCCCTGTGCTAGGTGCTGCAATGACAAATTTTCAGCTTCTCTTTTACTACTTTCCCAATTTCCACATTCACACTCTCTTGCCTTCTCATGGGCTCCCCTACCCTCTCCCCACTGCCCTTGCTTCTTCTTCTTCTTAGCCACAAGCCTGGCATCTTCCCAACTTCACTTCCATTTCATCTTGGCTGAGTCTTCTCTGTCCAGGGCAGTCGTCATTAATCCTCATTTCTCTAAGTGTCTACAGAACAGTTACAAACTTGCCTTTTAAATGGGTGGTAGCTTGCTGAGGCCAAAGACAACTATGCAATTCAATGTGTAGGAATATAGCATTGGACTTGTCACCTACTAGCACTAGATAGTTATTTGTTGATTAATAAATACACCTTACCAATAAAGTGTTTTTAAACGATTTTCAAAGCACATGCTGTCTACCATAGTTTAATCTTAAAAAAATCTACCACACTTTTATCTTAGAGGAAATATTAAGGAGCACTTGCACCCCTATTATACAGGAAATTTACTTCACTCCTCTTACCTCATCTGAAAAATGGGTATGTTAATAATACCCTCTTCACCAGGACACGAGGTCTGTTGTGAAGTTCGAGATATGCACAGAGGAAAAAGTGCTTTCTTCATTATAGAATCGTCTACAAACATTCTTCCTTTTTTTCCCCACATTTCAATTGACAAGTTTTATTTTATTTTTGACAAAAAATCAGTATTTCCCAAATTGGTCCTGTTATAAACATTACAGGAATGATTGTTAAAATATAGACTCCCAGCCCTCTTATTCTGATACGGTGGGTCTGGGGCCTAGGTTTAATCATATCCGCATGTAATTCTTTTTTTTTTTTTTTAACATCTTTACTAAAGTATAATTGCTTTACATTGTTGTGTTAGTTTCTGCTGTATAACAAAGTGAATCAGCTATATGTATACATATATCCCCATGTCCCCTCCCTCTTGCCTCTCTCTCCTACCCTCCCTATCCCACCCCTCTAGGTGGTCACAAAGCACCGAGCTGATCTCACTGTGCTATGTGGCTGCTTCCCACTAGCTATCTATTTTACTTTTGGTAGTGTATGTATGTCAATGCCACTCTCTCGCTTCATCCCAGCTTGCCCTTCCCCCTCCCGGTGTCCTCAAGTCCATTCTCTACATCTGCATCTTTATTCCTGTCCTGCCCCTAGGTTCTTCAGAACCACTTCTTTTTTTTTTTTTTTTTTAGATTCCATATATGTGTATTAGCATACGGTATTTGTTTTTCTCTTTCTGACTTACTTCACTCTGAACAACAGACTACAAACATTATTTCTTATTGATTCTTTGTTTGAAGCAAAGGAGCAAAGCAAATTAAAAATTAATTTTTATTAAGACTAATAAAGTTAGCTTTATTCCCTTAATTTGAAAAAGATTTAGAGCTGCTAAAGCTATTGTCTCTAGCCAGCAATGAGTAATTGACATGTTCTGAGACCTTGACTCCCTGGGGGATATTCCAAGTCTCCAGAGCATATCTAGAATATGGTGTGGGAAAGCCAGGTTTATTTTGTCAGCCTGCTACATTGCATTTTGATTAATTAGTGAAAATTTTGTGAATTCTCCATGGCCTTATCCGGTCTGAGCATACACTCCTCAAGGCTTCCTGCCAACATTCCCAGTTAAAGTTGTGTACTCATTCAATTTGTACAAAATGTTAGTATTATTTAATTCATAGACTCTTTTTTACTGTTTGCTCAGCTGTCTGTACTCTGTTCTACTTGTTCATATCAGTGTTCTAGGTCATTGTCACAGATTTCCGAGTTGCAGAAAACCTGTTTGCTCTGCATTATAACACAGCATAGGACCCAATAGAGGTAGATAATAAGTGCCTTTTTATGCAGTTGACATTGATGTGACCTTATTCCATTGAAATGAATCAAACAATCATCAAATATTGAGAACCTCCTGAAAGTGTTGAGGACGTGAATCCAGCTTGTTCTTCGTACAAGGATGGTGAGATAACCCTCCGAGCCTTTTCCCAAGAATGGAGTGATTGTCACCAACTCGAGTTGAGTATCCTTGCCTGTGCTATTCTTAGAGATCTATCTGAGTTGGCAATGTGTGAAGGCTGCCAGCATTTGCATGAACATATCTGCCAGGGCAGGATAAGGGCGAGACAGGGAGCAGGATATTTTCCCCTCGGGGCTTGGAGAAGAATGTACAGTACTTTCTCTGAGGTAGATGAGGTGAATTAAAGTCATTATTTTTATGTTTCTTTTTCATGGATAAATGAAAATATAAAACCTTGCACCATATTGTGAGATAGAACCTGGCATCTCTTTGTGTACATTCTGTGCTCCTTGAGTAAACAGACCATGTTTTTATATCTTATTGTATACCTAGAATTCCAGGATTGTATATGGCAGGTAGATAATTTAGTAATCAAAATGAACAAGCTTTGAATATTCCAGTCACTTCTATGATTATAATTAAGTCTTGTAAAAGTCAGGATGTAGATCCCAGATTACGGAGAAGTGTATTTGATATACTACCTAACTTTGCAGTAGTAGAATGAATGGGGTCGGGTGTATGAGTGTAAGGCTCTATTTACCAAGTGTCATCCTGAAGTGACATTTACTTTGGAGATGTGTATTCTTTCTGAGCAGTGTTGACTCACACCAGACAAAGGAAAAGCCAGGATACCTTTATACCCTGAATAAATGGACAGGCATCTTTTTTTTCTTTTTTGCGGTACGCGGGCCTCTCACTGCTGTGGCCTCTCCCGTTGCGGAGCACAGGCTCTGGACGCGCAGGGTCAGCGGCCATGGCTCACGGGCCCAGCTGCTCCGCGGCATGTGGGATCTTCCCGGACCGGGGCACGAACCCATGTCCCCTGCCTCGGCAGGCGGACTCTCAACCACTGCGCCACCAGGGAAGCCCCCAATGATGTCTTTTTTAACAAAGGAAAATCCAAGATCGTGAGGTGTATCCAGTTTGTCATGTCTCATTAGTATCCTTTAACCTGGAACAGTTCCTGAGGCTGTGTGTGTGTGTGTGTGTGTGTGTGTGTATGTGTGTGTGTGTGTGTGTGTGTGTGTGTTCCTGAACCTCACTATATTGACATTTTTAAAGTGTATAACATGTTATTTCATAGAATGTGCCCTAATTTCAGTTTGTGTCATGATTAGATTCGGGTTATGCACGTTTGGCAAGAACACCTCAGAAGTGATGTTAAATTCTTCTTAGTGCATCACATCAGGA